GCGTCGTGAAGGGATGACGTTTTATGAGTCTTGCACTCGGGAAGCTACGGGATGAACGTGTCAGCGACACTTGTCACTGGGAACCCCAGGGCCGTTCCTCCCGCCTGCACCCCCTCCTAGCCCTGCCGGCCTCTGGAGGTGGGAGTCCGGGCACAGGCTGGCATGATTTTCTGGATTTTGCCAGAGAAGAGATTAGAGGGGGTGATGCATGGACAAGAGGACTTTCAGCCCGTCTGAGCCCCCGACCCAGCATCTGGCCGTGGCGGGCACACAGCCCGGCTGCCGCACGCGGCCCGCCCGCCCCGACTGTCTCTTCTTGGCTACTTTTGGCCCTGTCCATCTGTCCTCTGTCTCTAGTCTCCTGTCAGGCCCTGTCCATCTGTCCAGTAATGCCTGCCTGTGTTCGCCTGCATCATCGCTCAGCCACCTGTCTGTCCATCACCTGTCCGTTCATCCTCGTCCCTCTGTCTGCGCTTGGAGCTCCACCTTCAGCCCCGTGCATGGGGCAGCAGGCGGGAGACATGGACCCTGCCGTCTCGAAGCCCCTGAGCTGGCCAGGAGATGGGCAAGGACTGGACAGTATGATGGTTGCTGAGGGAGCCTAGAGGAGCCTGGGGTCCACCCAAGAAGAGTTGGGGTGTCAGGGGTCAGGCCCCGGCATTCCAGACCCTTCTCTCTTGGGCCTCCTAGCACACCCTCCTCCACTCAGCCTTCCCCCGAGTCTCGAGTCACCCGTTCCAGGGCCGCAGCCACGGCCACAGATGGCCTCTGACCCCGACAGGCCCCTGCCCCCACGCACGGCGGGCGAGGGCGGCACAGCTATGGGCACCTTGCACCGAGGTGCCAGGGGCAGGCTCACACGCTGCCAGTCTGCCCTGTGCCGTTTCTTTGTGATTTTTTACGGTATAAACCGGAAGAGGTTTGCTAGGTCAGGGCCAAGCTGTCTTGGGCCCGTGGGGTGAACCCTAAGGCAGAGGGTGAAGTGTCCTGATTCCCAGCAGGCATCACCTCCTTGGGGCCGCAGCACCCCCGATGGCCTGATGACTGACCAGCAAGTGAAAGAGGGGATGGCCGTATTAGGTGGGGACAGACCAAGGTCCCTGTGTGGGACTGAGCTGCGGGTTCATGGGGACAAACTATGGGGCCGGCCCTTGTCGCTCAGTCTTCCGGGAGCGGGTTCACCTGCAGGAGTCCATGGGACACCAGAAGTGGGTCCCCTCGGGGAGAACTCGGGCACCCTGGGCCCTGCCTCGAGGCCCCCACCCCAGCCCATGCCGAGACAGCAGTTCTCCCTGACGCCCGCCCCTCTCCACGTGATGAGGATGAGCGATGAGGTGCGATGGCTGCCCATGAGCCCTGAAGTCCCTGCTCCCACCCACCCTGCCCCGGCCCCCCTGGGGAGGCGGGCGGGCAGCGAGCTGGCATCTGTGTCTCCCGGGAGGGTCTAGAGCCTGGCCCCGCAGTGCGGGATGCTGAAACTGATCTGCTTAGGGGCCAGCCCTGGATTAGCCGCTCCAGCGCCGGGCTAGGGGGGCTGGGGCTATTTAATGAGGCTTAGGGTCAGTTCCCAGGTCACTCCACGGAGGCCCCCTCGCTGCAGCCTGTCCCGGAGGCTGCTCTGCTCCAGGTGGGCCGGGGAGCAAGGGGCTGGGGAGGGTGGGGCGCCAGCCCGTCCCTGCTGCTCTGGCCTGTGCTGCCTGCCTGTGGCTCCAGGCTGTGGCAGCAGGGTGGCAGGTGACCCTTCCCCGTGCGGACTAAGGGAGACGCTCTCAGAACCCCAAGAGCAAACAGGGTGGGGGACCGGTGACATAGAGTCACACGGGGGTTTTCTCACCCCCTCTCCTCTGGGGATCTGTGGTGCAGGATTGAATGGTGCAGGAGCATCGATGAGGGAACAAAGTGGTCAGCTATGTGTTTACTCCGGGCAGGGCTTTGGGGAGAGCAGAGCACCCTAAGCACACCTGGGGACCAGTCCGGCCCAGTCCACGTGCGAGCTTGCGTCTGTGTCGCAGGCCCTTGAGTGAGCGTGTGTGTGCCCATGTGTGTTCTGTGCACACAACTCCTCGGCTGCTGGACTTCGGTTTGCCCCTTGGTTTGCTTCTTTGAAGAAACTGGGGCCCATAGGCAGCTGTAAGTTTTACTTGAAGCAGCGTGGGCAGTGTTCTCACTGAAGCAGCCGGTGCAGTAGGGACATGTGACTTCCGTGTGACAGTGTGTCCTCTCTGGGTGCCTGGCCCCAGGAGCAAGTGTACTGCCTTGGTGGGTACCTGGCCACCCTCCGAGTGGGGGGCAGGGACACAGTTGCTGGTCACGTTGCAGAGACCCTCCCTGAGTGGGACTCCCCGCCCCCTGCCCAGCAGACACTTGGCAGGCCCTGGGTGGAGCCTGAGTCCGTCAGCATGAGACCTTTACAGCCACTAGGACTTGGTGCAGGGATGCTCACACGCCTGGTGTCCCAGGCCGCACCCAGAGGTGTGCATGAGGCATCTGCACTTAGATGCTAACTGTGTCCTGGCGCCGTGCGTGCCCTACTCACGCTCCGTCGGGCCCTGGTCCCCGGGCTGGCGCACGGCCTCTCAGGGTCTCGCCTTCCCTGTCTTGCTGCAGCCAGGACAGCGGTCTCCCCTCTCTCATATCCAGTCTGCATCACAGCCACCTCGTTATGCCCGAGCACCAGAGCCGCTGCGAATTCCAGAGGGGCAGCGTGGAGCTCGGCCTGGGGGCCGCAGGTGAGGAGCCGGGGTATGGGAATCGCTCAGCCTGAGGACAGCTGCTGCCTGCTTTCCCGTGTCTCTGCTCGGTGGCCCTGGACGCCGCCACCCCCAGCAGCCTTGGCAGGCGGCCAGTAGAGGAGGCGGGAGGTGGCGGGCAGCTGTCCCCCGGGGCTCCATGTGATGGTAATTGTGTTAATCCCGGCCAGCCGGGCAGACGGGGGGCGGAGGCGGTGGCTCCACTGTGGCTGCTGCTGGAGGGGGCTTGGAGAGGCTGAGGCCACCACCACCCCCTCCTTATGGCATACGAAGGCGGGAAGGTCAGGGACATACAGGCCTCACGGGCCCAGAAACGCTCACCTGGGCATGACATGCACAGAGTGCCCACGACTCCACAGAGCACAGGGTCCCAGGAGAGAAGGGGTCCATCACTCGAGAGGAGTGGGGCAGGAGGGTGGAGCCCAGGCGCTCCTGGGTCACCTTGGAGGGGCAGCTCCTTGAGGGCACAGTTCCTCCCCAGGGACTCGGCCTGACGCTGAGCTTTAGCTGAAGGAGCAGGAGGCAGAAGGGTGCTGTACGATGAACCCTGGGCAGTGGCTGCAGTCCTCAGGAAGGCTGGGCAAGGGGTGGTCCACCACCCTGGGACCCTGAGCATCCCATGAGCGCCCCAAGCCCACCCGGGCCCAGGAAGGCCTCCGTGGGGTGGGGCGGGTGGGAGCTGCTTCTGGAGCTAGTGGGAGGCATCTGAGCAGGCGGCGGATAAAATCTAATTGCCCCATCGATCGGAGCCCCTGCAATGATTGAGATGTTCTGAGCCGCCAGGCCCGCCCCTGCTGCTGGCCCCGTGGAGACCCCGGAACGGACGGTGGGCGTGTGCGAAAGCCCGTGCCCTGCCCCCAGCCAGAGGCTGTGTGCCTGGGGCCTCAGCATGGCCCAGGGCCAAGCTGGGTGTTTCTGCGTCACACTCCGTCAGGGTGTCCCCACCCTCACTTTATGCTGAGGGGCCGGGCGGGCGTGGGGGCTTTTCTGGGCTCACACTTGCTCTGCAGAAAGTGCCACGGGCATGGACTTGGGTCCGGAATCCACTGGTCCCTGTGGGCCCTTGAGTGGGGTCACTTGCCTGTCTCCACTCCTCTCCCCCGGGGGCCACAGGTTCCTGTTCCTTCGACCCCAGCCTCGGAGCCTCTCCAGACCCTCAGCAGGGAGCTGGGAGCAATGAGGGGCCTGGAATGGGTCCGAGCTGGCATCTTGTGACTGTGTGTCTGCTCTGGCTGCCCAGCTGTGTCCCCGAGTGAAGGTGGCCCTCATCAAGGACTAGTGTACCCCCAGACCCCCATGGCAGGACCTTACTGCAGCCCCCTCCTATCCCCAGCCATACCTCCTCCAGAAAGAGGAGCCCCTACCCCTAACAGAAAATGGGGAGTTCCCACTGTGGAAAATGGAAAATGGGAAAGGCACATGGAATTGAGAGCCCCAGGTTCCTGGTCACCCCTAAACTCTAAAGAGCTGTGTGCAGAGATAAGGGGGTGTGGGGTTGGGAGGTGCAGGGGTGTGGTGTGGGGGACGTGGGGTATGCAGGGGTGGGGGGCGCGGGGTGGGGTGTGTTGTGGGGGTGTGGGGAGTGGACCCAGCCCAGACCCACCTCCAGGCTGGGTACAACCGGATAGCGGACCCTCCTGCCTGGTGCCCCAAAGCCCCAATGCTGTTGGGGGCCAATGCTGACTTCCTTGGGGCCCTCCTGCTATGGCACCCCCATCCTGTCAGGGCCCCGAGGTGGGGACCCAGCAGGGCCTGGGCCTGGGGCTGGGCTGCTGGGCCCGGGCCAGTGGCAGCAAGGGGCCAAGATCGATAAGTTATTAGCACCATTCTGTCAGCTGAAAAGTGGAGATTGATCGAGCGGCACTTCCCGGTCTGATAAAAACGACAGATTAAGGGAATAAGGAAAAGGTATTAGGCTTCGGAGCTGGCAGGGCTTCTGGGTAGCCCCCTCACCGAGGTGTCCCACGGTCTTGGGTCACAGAGGAGGTGGGTCCTTCACCCTCTCTCCCAGACAACCACATGGGAGCGGAGATGGGGCGGGAGCCTGGAGGCCAGCACTGGCAGCCGGGGTGCCGGACAAGTGCTGAGCTGTTCAGCAGAGACCCCCAGACCTCGGACTTGGGCGGGAGCACGGCATGGCGTCAGCTGCCGGGGCCGGGAAGGGGTGGGGCCCGTGTTCCCCCAGGGCAGGCTCGTGACCAGCAAGGCTGGCTCGGGCCTTCTGGGGGCAGTGAGGGGTGTGTCAGGGTGAAGGGCCTGGGCACAGTGGGTGTGGCAGGAGTTTGAGGATCCCTGACATGAGACCCTGCACCTTGGGTCCCACCTCTGTCTTGGGAGGAGAGGTAGTTTCCAGTCAAATCAGAAGCCTTCCCCTCTTCCCAGGGTGCTGAGCACACAGGAGACCAGTCTGGCGGGGTGGGGCAGCGGGGTGCCTGTGGGGCCCTGAGTTGCCACCTGAGGCTGTGACCACAGATCTGCCATTGCACCTACAAAAACACTCACCCCAGAGCCCATCCGTCCCACCCTGTCCTTGGGCTCGCTGTCCTCTGGCCAAAGGGGTGGGACTCCAGCTGGCAGGGCCTTGCTGTGGCCAGGACCCCTGAGCAGTGCTGGGTGTGGTTCCAGGCTGGGCTGGGACTGCCCTGGTCCCTCCAGCCTCCATCCCCACGAAGCCCTGAGATGGGGGCTGGGGCTGTCTCCCCTCCCCCAGGTGACCTGGGCAAGAGACTGGGCCGCTCCACCCACATCAGCAGTGACTGCCCTTTGGAGAAGAAGGCCCGAAGCAAGTCCCCCCAAGGTGGGAATCCTAGCCCAGGGGCAGGGACCCAGTCCCTGCAGGAGGGGGGTGTAACTTCGACCCCTCACCCAGTGCTCCCCCAACGCAGAGACTCTGCTGCTGCCCAGCATGGCCCCCGAGGACCACTACCGCCGGCTGGTGTCGGCACTGAGCGAGGCCGGCACCTTCGAAGACCCGCAACGTCTCTACCACCTGGGCCTCCCCAGCCATGGTATGTGCCCCTCACCAGGCGTCCACCAACATGGCTCTCCCCGTGCCTGGAGGCCTCGACGCACCCCAAAAGTAAGCCCCGGGGTCTTTGGCCGAGATTGGATACAGGTCTCTCGGCCCCTCAGCCCCCACCGTGAGACATGACTCCCCTCTTCCCTGGTAGGTCTTGGGGGTCCCCTACCTGCGTGTCCCCTGCAGCCCCAGCCCCATCGTCTCGCGTGAGGCGGGGCCGCCCGCCGCCCACTCCCACCTGCAGGCACTGTCACTCCACAGAGGAAACCGAGTCCCAGAGGAGCCCATGTGACTGGGAGATGGGGGCTCAGGCTCCCAAGGACGCCAGGCTGCATGCAGCCACCCTTCCCACTCCGGGGTCAGGGTGCCAGTGAGACTGCCCAGCCCCGCTTCTAGGGAGCCCCTGGGTCTGTGGGCGGGGGGCTGGGAGGAGGGGAGTACGGAGGAGGGGAACACCTCTGGTGGACTTCCCCGAGGCAGGACGCGCGGCGGCTGGAGTCTGGCCACCAGCGCCTCGCTGGTGCTCAGAGGAACCCCGGCTGGGGGTGCTGTCCTACCACCGCGCCCCCCCACACCCTTTGCACCCGCCTTCCACGGACACTTGGAAATCCAACCCACCACCGCAGGGGCGCGCTCCAGCACCCTGCCCAGCTGCAGCCCGACCTCCCACACCCCAGCCCACAGTCTAGGGAGGGGGGGCTTGGCTTTTCTGGCTGGAGGTGGGTGAGGGGTGCCGAGAAAGGGGCAGGATTTCCTCTCCTTACACAAGGCACTGTCCCCCGGGGAAGCCAGGCACTGAGAGCCTGAATAATTCACCGAATGTTAATAATTTAAAAATCTTCCTTTTTAATTGCTTTCCCTGCCCTGCCTGGGGCCGGCTCTGCCGGCCTGCGCGGGGGAGGGGGCGCCGGCCGCCGGGGAGCAGCGCCGCGAGCTGGGCTGTCAATCACGGCCGCGCGCCGCCGCCCCCGCTGGGGAG